ATAAGACGCTTACATTTCAACATACTTATTTTTAGATATGGGTGAATTCAAATAAATTGACCGGAAAATTGATTTTTTTTAAAAAATTCAAATAACCATAGTATATTTTTCAATTATAACATAATATTGTATAAACATTCTAGTTAAAATTTCTGAAGTGACAATAGAACAGATAAATGCTTTAAAAAAATTCCTAACTTCTAATTTATTAGTAGAACTTTATTTTTAAAAGAAAATATTACCAAATCCTAAAAGACTTCCTGAAAATACATAATCTAAAGAAATTAAACAGGTAGTTTTTTTATTCTTTAGAATTGTGTCTGACAGGGATATGACAGGGATATGATCAGATCTAAACCTTGACTGAGTTTCTGCTATTGTATATGTGAAAAAATTACTTTTTGATTGTTATTTTACATAAATTGTCTTAATTCTGGTTTGAAAAGTTTTAATATGAAAGAAATATGATTCCCCAAAAATTACTCTTTTGTCTATTTAGTCAATTTTTCAAATGTTAGCCAAAAGAGAAGGATGATATATAACTTTTCTTACAAAAACACTAGATTTTGAAGTGATCCTCTTTTACCTTATTTTGTTGCACTCCTGACATCCGATATGTTTTTGATTTATTTGATTTGTTTTGAAAATTATAACATGCAATAGTTCAACCAAAGTTTGTAAATCAGTTCGTCGTTTTGATATTTTTTATCATTTATGGCAAGTTTTTCATATTTTCTTGACTTCAAAATATGATTACTGTATATGCTTATGAAATATATATTTTTAAAAATGTGTTCAGTAATGAAAACTCTTCTGTTGTAAAATGTCCGAAAATGTCTGTAACTTGATGATAGACTTTATGATTTCAACTACAAATAGTATCAAACATTTTCTGCAATTTATTTTTCTCAATAAAGATAGATGAAGTTCATTGATAATTACAAAACAGTTTTGTGGCACTCCTGCCAGCAGTAACGTTTTATAAGATTAAAACCAAAGAAGCCCAAAATTCATCAAGTTATGGAAACATCAAGATGTAGCAAATTTGTGCAATATATATAGTCACAATACGTCATGGTTAAGATATATAAAATTGTTTAAACTTGGTTTTATCTTGAATTATTCCTATTAATGTCGCAAAACTAGCTATAAAATATATTTAGGAGATAAATGTATATTTTATGGGAAATTTTATTTCATGTGACAAACACTGTTAGCAATTGGGATGATGGGATCAACCAGATTTTCCAAAATCGAAAGCAAAGAATCATATACTAGTACTGATAAAAGTTTCTTTCCGTGTTGGGAGCAAAACATTAAATATGTTGCACTCCTGACATAAAGGATACTTGACTCTCATTAATGTTTTGAATCCTGTGATTCATACAACATTTCAAACTTTGAAATGGTACGTCACTTTTTGTTTTACATTTGAAAAACCTTTTTTTTTTTTTTTGACTTGTCATACAGATTTTTAAAATCAATGTTTTTGAGCAACAACACAATTTTGCTGTTGCACTCCTGAAATGGTATAACATTTTTTTCAGCATCAGCCATGACCATGTCTTGGTCAAACATAATTTACTACAGTCTAAATTTCGCAGATCTTCAACAAATATTAAATTTTCAAAATGTCACAAAAAGGGCTTGCACTCCTGACATTTTTAGCATCATTTGGGGCATAACTTTTTTGTGACTTAAGATATCAATGAGACGTTTGGCAGGCATTTAGCCAGTATCAAAAGACATATGCTGAGCTATATAAATTTATTCACATCGCCTATATTTTTAGTGCAGGTTAATAAATATGTTTCCAATCATTTATTTTATTCACCCTATATGACTGAATGTAGTCCTGGTGTTATAGAGAGAATACTAAGTATTTTAAAGATCTCTCTCTCTCTCTCTTTCTCTGTCTCTCTCCTGTATATATAAATTAATCTTTTTATTAAACAACAACAGAATCATCAGATATGTCATCAGATATGAGTTATCCCTCTTTGTATGATGCGCAATCTCGACCAATCAATCAGTTTGAATTAAAATTTGACATGAAATTTTTCCTCATTTATGTAATAGCTCAAGACTCCATAATACACCTTTGTGAAGATTGAGACTGTTTTTACTATTTCTTCTTTGAGGACGTCGGTGGGTTGGTATCTCCTTTTGGTTACTTAATAATAAAATTTAAGAAAGTGCATTTGTTTACACACGTGCGTGAAGGTGGGGGTGTGTGTATGGGTGTGTTATGTGTGAAAATGGCTTATCTTATTACTATCCTGATGGAGACACCCCCCCCCTTTAAAAAAAAAATAGATAAATAGAATTTAAAAAAAAGAGAATTTTTAAATATGTAACTTGACTAACATTTTACATAAATTATCTGGAAGTCTGAACTCTGATTCACTTATTTTTGTCCAATCTATTTTAATTTAAGGTCAAGATATAGTAAATGAGTTAAGATTGTCTTTTTGATGTTAGATCCATTATGAAAATGAAGAATTTTCATGGAATTCAATTTGAAATCATGTCAAAAGTAACCCCGATACCTATATTCAATTTAATATCATTTTAAAGAAGAGGTCAAGAAGATATGAAAAACTGTTTTCTGAGAGACTGTAGGCAATATTGTTACCTTTCTTTTCTCTGAGATGGAAAAAAACTCCCATATTTATACCTGACTTCTTCATTTTTCATTGAAAATTACAGTTTAAAATATCTTTTTGCGTTGAGTTTACTTAAAAATTAAGTGCCGATACACCTAATTTCACCAAGCTATATTTGTAAAGGATCATTGAAAGAACTTGTTTCTCAAATTTGAGAAATCTGAAGGCACCTTACATTTACTAGATCTTGACCTTAAGTTTAACTTCAAGGCGTGTCAAAGAAGAATTGAAAAGGTAACATCTATTTTTTAAAAGTTTAAATTAGTTGGAACTTTGATGCACTTCATTTCTTACGGAGTTTTATATACCTTCATTATAAATAATTGGAATGAGTACTTATTTATTCACATTACTTTTATTTTGAATTTATTTTAATATATTAATTGACAAAGCCTTCATGTATTTGGTGCGCAAACTGGAAAAGACCCCTATTACTTTTGATGTTAAAAGTTAGAGGTCAAAGTCAGAATCAATCTCTTTTGCAGAGTTGTCTTTTGTTTCTTTCTTAGTGAATGTATGAGCCCATGGCAGAGAGCGCACTAAGATATGACCTTTATTAATTTTGAGGTGAATGTGTCAATGGTCAAGGTCATCCTTCAAAATATCTTATTATTCTTCTATTATATAGACGAATTTTGATAACAAATGATTCTGAAAATTGCTGATAAAGTTCAAAATATTGTATTATTCTTCTATAATATTATTCTAGTGATTTTCTCCTTTTATTTTTGGTTTAGCTTTTTTTTTTTTAATGATTTCAAATTAAAAAAAAACAATAAAAAAAACTTGGGCATGTTAGATATACATTGGTAATTCTAATATAATATAATTCATATTCAAAATAAAAGGTTCCCATGGACCTGGACGTGATGAATTCATTTAAATTATTGACTTTGCCTATTTGATATTCACTACATGATTCGATGATCTAGTGAAATATTTTCAATCGGGCGTGGAATTCAATTTATTCGAATCTGAATGGTAAGCGCGCTGGATGAAAACGGCACTGAGCACTAAAATATTCGGGGTCTTCTCCTCAAATGGTACGGTAAATGTACACGTAAATAATAATTAATAATCTTACATATATTCCCTTTATTTCCATGGCGATATTATTCTTTTCAAATGTAAGGACTCATTTTCCCCGTCGCTAGATAGATTGTTCTTAATTTCGTTAAAAAGACATTGTCCCAGGTTGGGACCACTCGCCCAAATGGGATATAATAGACCATCTGGGGTATAATATCCCAAATGGGATATAAATTTACAGTGCAATAAAATAAAAATTTTATTTTGGCTATAAATATCATAAATCCGCATCAAAATACTTTAAAAGGAATAGCTTTTGGTTAACAAGTTTTTCTGTATGCCCACTGTTTAGGAGATTGATCCCTCAGAAGTTCCTAAACTTCTTGGGGATCAATCTAACAAAATGTAGGGTTGCAGAAAAACTTGCTTGCCAAAAGTTATTCCTTTTAAAGTATTTTGATGCGGATTTATGATATTTGTAGCCAAAATAAAATTTTAAATTTTTTGCACTGTAAATTTATATCCCATTTGGGATATTATACCCCAAATGGTCTATTATATCCCATTTGGGCGAGTGGTTCCAACCTGTTGTCCTGTTGTCCTGCGGACCCGGTGGTGAGGGCTTGTTCTGAGACACAGATTATTCTATCTACTCCATAGTCAACTATTTACTGTAAATTCAATGAGAACAGGGGAAGGGCTGACCACACCTGTACGCTGATCTATACACTACACAAAAAACTTAAGAGCACAGGGGCTTGCTCCCGGCGTGTAATAATTATTTATTTAAATATAATATACGGTAATACTAAAACAACAAAAGGGAGGACGCCGATTTGGACATCCTCCTCACTTCAACCTCTGTTTTCGTTATATTTTCCTGTATTTTAATCATTCACAACCTCGGGTCTGTCAAGTAATGATTCTTATAACTTTTAAGACATAATGCTTGAATTTTCCCCTGGAGCCTCTACAATACACATTTTAGAAAAACATAAGAAAACCCTGAGAAACAGCTATAAAAATAAAAATCTACAGTGTATTACTCATTTAGAAATTCCCAACATTTCCTAAAAAAATGACTCGAACTCTTTGTTTGCATACATTTTCCCCATGTAAGGAAGCAAAAATGATTTCTGTTCATCAATAATCTTGAATCATAACCACTAACTCATATATAAAATGGCATCTTTAATAAGACTTTTACAGCAAAGTTCTATGTGATAGGGCTAGAGTGTTTAAAGTGTTACTTGTACATTTTCATCTTAAGAAACACCCTCTTTAACTTTGTAAGGAATGATTAACAGCCGACATCCTGGAGATTGAGGATATGATATCAGCCTGTGAAACACAGGAATTTGTACCATTTGGAAGAACGTATATTGAGAAACATCCAGGAATATTTGAACTACAAGTACAGAACCATGTATGCACAGAACAAGGAGTGCCCCTGGTCAAGTCATTCAGAGATATTTCCATCACTGATTCTAAAAAGGTTAGTTTGTTGTCTTTAAGTATTTAGATATATTTGTGACATAATGTTAATGCCTCTTCATAGCACATATATTGTGACATACGTAGTGCATATTATGATATCAAAATTTATCCTCTTCATCCAAAGCTTTGGTAGTGATTTTTACCATGGTCAAAGATTCCTTTATCCTAGTAAATACATCTCCCAAGAGTCCTTGGTTATTGGTGGCACGCACAAATTGGTATCCTTTACCAGACTCAAATTGCAACCAGTTTTAACTTTCCCAGTTGTCCTAGCGACACTTTATGTTTGGGTAAGCTGGACCACATGATTCATATCAGGAACCTTCCTTGATTTTGGTGCACTTAATGGAAGAACATCTTTGTTAGTGCATCAATTCTTAATTTAAGAGCAGATGAAACACTGACGACTCTCATTTGAGGGGTGCATATACCACATTGTGTCAGTAAATTGGTCAGGGATGGAATTTTTATCATACATCATATCCACTACCAATATTAATCCAAAGTTACTCATGAAATTTACAACAGGAATCCTTTTATTTGCTTCATTTTTGCCACCCAGTATTGGTTTTTAGACCTGCTAAACTTTCCAAAGGAAAATACGTACATTAAGACATTTCTTGATTTCTTTATGAAATTTCCCAGGCTTCAATGTGGAAGATATCTTTGCAACTTTATAAACAGTGGAAAAATTTTGATTCTGAGTCCATAATATTTTTCTTATGCTGTGGAATTATTTTAATTCGTGGGCGTCAGTGTTCATGGGCAAGCAAAATTTTACTGGTTCATGGGGACGTAATTTTATGGGTAACTCTTATGAACAGGGGATTCAGTGAATTGATCTATTGACAAAGGGATGTAAATTTATGGGTAAGAGTGGCCAACAAAATCCATGAACATTGGTCCACCATGAACAATGATGATTCCACAGTAGTACTATGCAGATGAATTTAAATTGTCAATGTGTGTGATTTTGAATAATCATTAGTACAGAATAATTAATAATCACATCTATTATTCAATTTCATGTGTTTGTACCTCATTTACGGTTCTTGGTTGTTTGTTGTTGTGTTGCCCTGGAGTGAGTTTTCCTATTATTACTTTTACTAGTAGTAAATGTCTTAAAATATGGTTGTTGTGCAGAGATTGTGCGAAAATTGATACTCAGATGATCAATAAGCCTGTTATGCTCTGAAAATTGAATTATCCTTTTTGGAGTTAAATAAGTTGTCAGTTATAGTAAGAAATATATGAAGCAGGACAATTTTGCCTTTGACTTCAGCATAATGTGCTCATATTTTGGACCAATCAATAAATATAAATGCAATGTTGATTAAATGTTTTTCATTGGTAGAGTAATTTTTGATATTTTTTACTTTATAAAGTTTAGGGTACATATCTTTGTTATTTTGCAGCCCAAAGAACAGTGGTCCTTCAAAAGGCAGCATAAACTTTGTCCATCGGACAGTGAAACTTGTGATGAAGAGCTATATGTGAGTGGAAACACAGTCATTTGGAGCCATGGGGGACATGGGGGAGTGCAGCATATCCTCAAATCCTTCACCATGGACACACCTGTTCTACAGGTAAGGAACAGGGACTCGCTATATACAAAACAAAATATTCTTAATTTTTTAGATGATAACTATAAAAACAAAAACAGTAAAGTTGAGCTTTCTTGTTTTTAACAAATTGGTGCTTACAAATCTTAGTTCTGCTGGCCCATGAGAGCTTTAAGCATTGATAAAGTATCCTTAATCCATCAAAATTACTATTACTAACTGTATCAATAGTAAAGACTTTTGGGATGTACCTGGCTGTTCAAGTACATGCATGTAATGCATTATTTAGGTGCAGAAGGCTTTACAGGTTATAGAGATTAGGCAAAAAGTTCAATGAGAAAATGGATAGAAGTTATCAGAATGATTTCCATACTATGTTAAATAAATATTTCAACAATCATAAATTTTAATGACACATTTTGCAATAAGTATATTCTTTTCTAACCATTAAAATATGGATACATACAAGAAATGCTGCATTAATTTTTTTGATTGGAGAAACATTGATGTATTGTACAGTTTTTACTAACATGTTATGAAATGTAATATTTTTCCTCTTCGGATATTGCAAATTACAGATGTGTTATTACTGAGTTTCAGCGTATTGGTTTTTGTTTTTACTATAGTTTATAAGTATGGAATACTGTGTTAAATTCTTTCAAAATGCAAATCCTATTACTCTTTTGGCCTTGCTTGAATCAAACTTTAAATTTAGAAAAAAAGTCAAAATTCGTATTTTTGTTATTAAATGTAAAAACCAAAATTGAATGGTGCAACTGTAAGACTTTATTAATTAAACCAACAGAGCTACAGTTTTATCTGAGACTTACGGTTTTTATTGATACTTTCATCAAATATTGTCTATCATTTCAGGCACTTTGGTTTGATTTCATTTTACCAAATACAGAGACAATTCCAGACCCTCCTCATTCCTTGGATATTGAGGGTAAGAATTATAAATACTGCTGCATAAGGGTGAGATATGAGTGTTTACAGTAACTTTGAAAACCAGGGGTTGTTATGACCCTTTGAAAAAAATGCATTCTGGTTTTCTTTCTTGGTAGCTAAATTTCCTTGGATCATTATTTGATGTTAAAAAAATTAAAAAAAAAAAAAGAACTGTGCTGAGTTATTTACACATTTTACTAATTCTGCCCTCTTGCAATCATAGGAGGATGGAGCAGACCTCTAGTAGTTCTTTGAAGTGTTTACAAAATTGTTATTTAATGTAACAATTTTTTTTTATTACCATCACCAGTCTTTTTGGCAAAGCCAAACTGAAGTAAAGATGCTGACATGCTTTTTATTTGGACATCCCATTTTTGTTTAGAATTAGATATGTCATTCAAAAATTTTATGTAAAATTTTTTTTGGATAGTCTTTTTGATGCAGTGATATTTTTTTGTAAATTTTATGCACATTAATTTATGCTTCATTGTTAACACAGTATGAATGCTTTTTTTGAGTTGCTCAATGGACCTGTTACCATGAGATTTGTTTCTTGACTCGTTTGCATGTTTAAACAACTTTAAATATTTTCACAGTTTCTCTTTAATTACTAATGCTGAACCAGTGATTAACAATTTTGGAACTTAGCATCCATGTAGAAAATGGGGGGGGGGGGGGGATTCTAAAGTAAATAATTCATGTTTTCATCCCAGTGATGTTTGAGGAGTTGAGGTCTTTTTTATTGAAATGCAATCAAATTAAGGATTTATTTTACAACATGCATGATTCCTTGAAGCACATTTTATGCAAACAAGATTTTGTTTCTAGGGGAGCTGCAGTCAGGTATCTGTGTGGTTGAGATGGGCTGTGTAAGTTGTTTCTGTGAAACAGGAGAAGAATACTCCATGGCATTGCCATTTCAGGTGAGGAAACCTGTTTGAGAAAAAAAAATAGTTTGGTGAATTGTCAGACTACAATAAAATGTAGCAATTTATTAATCCAGACACTGGTGTTTTTGAGGGAAATTTGATGCTTTTTTAGCTCACCTGAGCCATGCATGTACATGTAGGTTCAAGCTTTGATCAGTGTTTGATTTCAGTATTTCTATGGTTACCATGAATTGAGAACCTGTAAAATTCCTTTATGACATGGTACTCCTCCAACAGTTTTGATTTTTGAATTTTAATAAATTTCTTAAGTAAATAAACCAAGGAACATAATTCTGTCTTTCAGTAACTATGTTCCCATAGTATCTAAACAAATTAACTGTAAAATTCTCTTTAATTTAAAAATTTGCATTTTTTTTTTTTTTTAAATCCCACTACCAATGTAGAAAAAATCTCGATATACAAGTAGACTACCTCAAAATACATAATTCTGTGTAATGGTTTATGATGTAAATGATCAGCATTGCCATGGTTATTATCATGATTTAGATTGCAAATGCTTGGAAGATGAAGAATGGCCTCCTCTTTGAAAGAACAGTGTCAGTAGCAGAGTCAAGTAACAGTAAAAGGTAAACAGCATTGTAATACTGATTATACAGGGAAAAATCTTGCTCGTTTATGAAGGTTCCAATTTCTTTGTTTAAAAATAAAATTTTCCAGTCATTTAGATGAAGACAGGGTTGAATATAATTGCTTGCTGTATTAAAAGTTTTTAGTCACAGAGTTGCTTGGAATACCTTTTTACTATCCATACTTTGTAACTGGCAAACTATGTTTTCTTTGGCACACCTCAATGAATTTCAAGTGATTTTGGTATATATATTATTTATAGGGATGGCAACAAATATTTGAACATTCGAATATTCATTCGATGAGTCGATATTTGAATATGAATTTAAGATTCGAATATTCGGTATTTTTCAGATTTCATAAAAAGAAGTACTGTGATTAATAAATTTCGCTAAGAACAGAGCTGGAATTATCTCTGTTTAATTTACTAGGGATCAATTTCGATCGCCTGATTTCTTTCACTGCTTTCTTATCTTACAGATTTACTAAATTATATGTATTTTGTTTTGAATAGGGTGTTAAAGAATTGTACAATAATGCTCTATGTATTGAAATCTGAACAATATACCGTTACGACTATCTTGCCTTTGGTAAGACAACTGGTTCCTCAGTTGGAGCTACTATAAATACACATGTTTCATTTGTTAAAATTATACTTTTCTATATTTAAATCAATTATTTATTTCAAACATTGACAAATATCAAATGGAATTTCTTATTGTACAACTACAAAAGTCTTCATACAATTTTACTTCCAATATAAGTATACTACGCTAAACCTGTCATGAGTAGGATGATGCATATTTAAAAGAAAACTGATTTTATTTATTTTATCGAATATTCGAATATATTCGAATACTTTCATTGAATATTCGAATATGAATTATTGACAAAATTGACATCCCTAATTATTTAAGATTTGAGGAAAACATAAATTATGAATTTCTTGGTAACTATTCCAAAGCCCCTAGTGACCAAAGCTATGGAAAAATCATTAAATCTTCACAAGTCTTTTTCTTTACCCTTGGACATTTAGAAGTCTATTTATAGGAGTTGGCAAGCCCTTTACTTCAATGTAATATAAATTTGAATTGTTTCAGTCTTTTACTTTTCATTGATGTTTAAAATAAGGGGTGTCATTTATCGACATACATGTACATGTATTTATTTGTGACTCGGGAAAGCATTTTGGCTCATGGGCATATTTTTCATCTTCTCAAAGAATACATTATTTGTGTAATCGTTTTACTGCAAATGCTTTGAACATTTTGCAGTAATGCAGGTCCAATTATACTCTATGCTATGAAGGAAAGTGGAGCAAAAGTGTGATTATAGAAACTCTAATTATTAATATTTGTAGAAATTTCCCAAATCAGACCACAGTGTTCAGTATGTTACATTGCTTGGATGAAGTTTCACCTGTCATAATGAGAACAAGTGAGTACTTTTCTGTATGTATTTCAGTGTGGCATTATTAGGTTATCTGAGCTGAAAGGGACAAGTGACTTTGGGCTAGGATATGGCTATGATAGGGAGACAAAATTTTAGATGGGATTATGTAGGAAAGAGGTGAAAAATGCCCACTATTAGTCATGTTAATATTCAAGCATCATCATTCAGTGTCCTATCATGTTTATTGAAATCATGGCTTGGGTGGGGCCACAGTAGGGGGTCAGAGTGTTATATAGGATCATATAGAGAAAAATCTATTTTAAAAATGCTCCTGAAGTACAGAAAGACCATGGCTGTATTTATCCATTACTATTACTGATATGCATCCCCAGATGCAATATCTGTAGAAGTTTGGTCAATGTTTGATTTCATGAAATGTTTCAGTTATTGCAGCATCTAAACAAAGTATTTTTTCCCTTATTTATGTCATCTATGCAAATATTGGTCAATAAACATGATAATTACTATGACGATTATTAAACCTTACCTTATGTGGGTATTTAAATGACTGATTTGATGAAATTTTAGCAAAACAAAAATAAAAATCCTTTGAAAATACATGCATACCTTTGTCATGAATTGGTTTTTTTATGCATTATGATTACAGCTGATTATGAATTATTAGAAAGTTGCAGGTCATGCTTGCGTTTGTTTACACAGATACCAGCAGTGGGTTGAAGGTATCCTACATGACAGACACTTCTCAGCACATTGTATTTACCAGTGTAGAACCATCTTTAGCACTGATGTATGACACACAGTTAGGAGTTCATTCAGCCTGGAAAATTCAGAGGGCTAAATTTGAAGTAAGTACAAGTAGATTTAACACAAATATACATGCTATATTTTTGACAATTTTGTTTTCAGAAAGTCTGGAAGAAGATAGAATATTCCTAATTACAAGTCGTTTTAGTTGAATAAAACCAGAATCAATCATTTTGTAAATTTTCCAATCTTGTAGGACTGTAACTTAGTATGTGGTTCACTGGACAATAGCCTGTATCATCCTGTTCCCGGGACCCCACTAAACAATCAGTCCAGCTGCAGTTCACGTTACTTTGGAAACATTTCCTCCCAGTCACCCAGTGTGTCCCCAATGAGAAGTTTTTCAGGGAGGATTAGTTCACCTGGGTGCCTCCATCTTCCTCAACCTATCAGTCCAATGATTTCTAGGTATGTTAAGTGTTTTGATTTGCCAAGGAATCAATAGTTTTCAAGAATTCTTAGTCTGATGACAATATATTCTGAAAATTTCTGCATTTATTATCGACGCAGAGTGATTATGTGTCAGTGACTTCATGTGATGGAACAATGCATAAATTGTCAATATGTGCTGGAGAATTTCAAATTCATGATTATGCAATACAGCTGTTTTCAATTATCGAAAAATATTGGAAATGGCGTAAGATTATCAAACAGATTTAATAATTATCATTGAAGTGATTTCTTTATCATTCTATGCAAGGTTTAGGACGATGCTTTGTACACAGTAAGGTGACTTTGTGATGATACATGTATAACTATTATTAGCCTACTTCTGAGGTACAGCTCGGTAATCCCCCCTTCCCCAAGTCTTGCCTTTAGAGCTCTAATTAGTCCAACATTCTTTTAAGAGACACAATTAAATAATCAACATTTATATCTTAGAGACACAATCTTCAACACATCATCAAGTTTTAAATCATTTAAAATGCATGCAAATCAACATTGTGTGTTTTCAATGAATTACTACATGTACCATTATGAGTGGGAGTCACCAGTTGCAATCCTTGATTTTATTATTATTATTTTTTTTGTATATCATATTAGATCTCAATCACCAGCTATAACAAGTGGCTCTCTTCATCGATTTCACACACCATCTCCAAGCATAGGCAGACATTCAGGAAATTACTTCCGAACACCACCTGTTTGCTCAAATAATGTTTCCCTCATCAATGAAAGCTTTACAGAATGGGTAGAACCTCTGAGACCAGAAGTCTGTTTGGAACACATCTGGACAGAGCCTGCACCAGCAATTAGGTAAGTTCATTTGAAATTATCATTTACATGTATATTTAACTTAATGCTTGCAAATATTTTAAAACTGGGTAGGCTCACATACTGATCTCTACACTTCAGATGCTGCTTCAGAATTTTATACATATGCCATTCATGTTTTTTTAAGGTAAAATACTCCCTAAATCATTCATTAAAACTTGCCTTGATTTTTAAATATTTCTCACACTTTTTGGTGTAGAATCCTCAAACCTTTTCAATTGATCCACATTAGGGCATGGTGCATCAGAAAGTCATTTTGGACAGTTTTCCAAATGCACATCATACCCTTGCATTTCACATTTTTTAGGCATTTCTGAACTATTCCAAGAGGCAGTATATGTAAAATCTTCTAAAAGCCATTCAATGGATGCAACATAATATGATATTTTATCTGAATAAAAAATTCATGTTGTTATTTAGTTGAACAATTATCTGTTTTAGAGATGGATCCTTGGGAAAGTCTAGCAAAGTTTTCCAGATGAAAGACCTCTGTGGACAGCAATACTTGTGTTACCTCGTGTCATACAGACAACAATTACGGTAAGTCAAATGATGTCTGTGTTACCTTGTGTCGTACAGACAACAATTACGGTAAGTCAAATGATGTCTGTGTTACCTTGTGTCATACAGACAACAATTACGGTAAGTCAAATCATGTCTGTGTTACCTTGTGTCATACAGACAACAAGTTCGGTAAGTCAAATCAAATGATGTCTGTGTTACCTTGTGTCATACAGACAACAATTACGGTAAGTCAAATGATGTCTGTGTTACTTTGTGTCATACAGAAAACAATTACGGTAAGTGAAATGATCTCTGTGTTACCTTGTGTCATACAGACAACAATTACGGTAAGTCAAATGATGTCTATGTTACCTTGTGTCATACAGACAAAAATTACGGTAAGTCAAATGATGTCTGTGTTACCTTGTGTCATACAGACAACAATTACGGTAAGTCAAATGATGTCTATTTTACCTTGTGTCATACAGACAACAATTACGGTAAGTCAAATCATGTCTGTGTTACCTTGTGTCATACAGACAACAATTACAGTAAGTCAAATCATGTCTGTGTTACCTTGTGTCATACAGACAACAATTACAGTAAGTCAAATCATGTCTGTGTTACCTTGTGTCATACAGACAACAATTACAGTAAGTCAAATCATGTCTGTGTTATCTTATGTCATACAGACAACAATTATGGTAAGTTACGACATGTCTGTGTTACCTTATGTCATACAGACAATAATTATGGTAGGTCAAGTCATGTCTGTGTTTCCTTGTGTCATACAGACAACAATTATGGTAAGTCAAGTCATGTCTGTGTTTCCTTGTGTCATACAGACAACAATTACGGTAAGTTAAGACATGTCTGTGTTACCTTGTGTCATACAGACAACAATTACAGTAAGTCAAAATCATGTTTGTGTTACTTTGTGTCATATAGACAACAATTAGGCCAAATAAAAAAATATGTGTGGTTTCGGTTACCCGACCGTCCCTTTTTTATACCCCCGACCCTAAACTTTTTTGCGGCAATTTTCATTTTTTTTCCGGAATTTTCCCAGATTTCTATCAATGGCTCCGGTTGAAGTTTTAGTTTCAGCAATGACGGCCTCTTTGCAAAACATCGTGCAAGTGTTTAATAGTGTTAAAACCAAAGCAAGCTAGCATGTAGGTGTCCCCTACCAATATTGACTAGTATATTATCACACCACATCTAAATGCCACTTGCAAAGGAGTGATAGGTATTATTTAGAAAAATTAAGAAAATCATTTTGTTAATAAAAAAAAAAGACCCTACCTACCTACCCTAATTTTTTTGGAGGTGTAACCAGAACCACACATATTTTTTTGTTTGGCCTTACAGTAAGTCAAATCATGTCTGTGTTTCCTTGTGTCATATAGACAACAATTACGGTAAGTCAAATTACATCTGTGTTACCTTGTGTCATACAGACAACAATTACAGTAAGTCAAATCACGTCTGTGTTACTTTGTGTCATGTAGACAACAATTACGGTAAGTCAAATCATGTTTGTGTTACCTTGTGTCATACAGACAACAATTACAGTGAGTCAAATCACATCTGTCTTACCTTTTGTCCTATAGACAACAAATCATGTAAAAATGTTTTGAAGAGTTACATGTAGTAGAAAGATATGAAACTTCACTGGAAATGCTAGTCAGAGAGTTACTATTAGTACTTTACACAATTTCATCTCCAATAAGTATTTTTTAATAAGAGAGTTTAATATCAATCTGATGGCTTATATTATTTACTTATGTATATATCAAAAGGTTGTTGAAATATCTGAATACTGATATTATAAAAAGATAGCTAATTTGGATAAAAGTTGCAATTCAAAGCAAGTGAATTCTGGAAACAAGAATAGTTTTGACTGTATTGAAATAAATTTTCTTTCTTAAGGTGTTTGGTTATATTTAATCTAATCAGCTATTACAATATTTTGTAGATGTGTTAAGTTTGAGGAGAGCAACGATTTGAGTCAATTGATATTTGGGTCTGTTTCTATTATCCCTGCTAAAGATGCCCTTCCAATTGAGGTAAACAAAATTAACATGCATGTTAAGGTTTTGCCAAATGTCAACATGTCCAGAAATTTATTTTTACAATAGCTCCAAAACTATGTGGTTTATAAAGTAAAAACTTTTACAGTTTATAAATATATCATTGATTAACAGATAGAAATTATCACTTGATAACAAATACTTTTAAAAAAATATTTATCGAGAAAAATTCTTTTTTAAAAAATGCATATATTTTTTAAAAAGTACACCTAATTAATTCCGTACTTTTAGTGAAAGCTATCATTGCAGAAACAATATATGTTTATCAATGAAGGGCAAGTTGGACTTTGATAGCCTCTGGAAAGTTGTTTTCCCTGTTTATTATGTCCACATGTTAAGATTTGAAACCGAAAGTACATTGCAAATGGCGGATTTTATAGGGGTCTTCTCTTTAAACATGTCATGCTTTCAATAACAGCCTTTCAGAGACCATTCATGTCCAACTTGCCCTCCATTGATAAACGTATATTATTTTTGCAATGATGGTTTTCACTAAAAGTACAGAATTAAGCAGGTGCATTTTTTAAAAAATATGCAAATTTTTTGAAATTTTTTTTCTCAAAAAATATATTTTTTTAAATATTTGTTTTAAAGTGATACTTTCTATCTGTTAATCAATGATATATTTATAAACTGTAAAAGTTTTAACCTTATATCTCACATAGTTTTGGAGCTATTGTAAAAATAAATTTTTGGACATCTTGACCTTAGACAAAACCTTAATTTATGTATTTATTTTAAATGTACGAGGGGTGATCAAAAAGTTCGCGAACTAATTGAATTACTTCTTTAAAAGAAATAAAATGAAGTTTCAGTGTTTATTATTTTTTAAAGTAGTCCTCTCCGATTTTAATGCATATCTGCCATTGTTCTGCCCGTGCGCGAATCACGTGATCCAGGCAGTCACGTGACATGCTCCGAAGCAGTCTGTTCAGAGAAGCTAAAAGATTTTTCCGAGTCTTATATTTCTTACCATGCAAGTTATTTTCTATAACAAAAACAGTCCATCTGTCAGAAATGGCCAAATCTCGGCAATAGGATGGGTGGATAAGGATATCCCTTCCCACAATTAGTATGATGACCCATCACAACCCGAGTCCTCTGTCTCGGGAGAGTCGTTTATCCAATGTGGATAAAGTATGGGCGCCTTCTTTTTATCATAGCTCATATGTTTAAAGTCTAAAGTACACGATATTTTAGAGATTTAATAATTATATTATTGTTAAGATATACAACCATTTTTCTAACTGTTACTTGACGATGTTTCATAACAAATTGCTCAACTAAGGACACATCTTTTCCCCGGCTTGCTTTCGCTGGGCAACAGAACAAACATCATTTTTAACCGTCTCCCTGCCTTTACTTAAACAATCAATCCAATTATTGATTGAACTTCTGGTAAGTCTTTTGTCTTCATAAACCTTGTACAAATTATCATATTCTACTGCAAAGGAATTTCCAAGATATACGTTAAACTTTACAGCCGTTCGTTGCTCGAGTACGACTGAGTCAACCATTTTTTGTCGCAAGTGACCTACATATTGACGTCATTTTCACATTGTGACGTCACAAACACGGAGCAAAACATTATTTAACATATGTTATTTGTAGAACATGTGTGTGACTATATGCTTGTCAAATTTCATTCTGATCTGATTTGAGGTTTTGTAAATATAGAGATAGTTCGTGAACTTTTTGATCACCCCTCGTATGTACATGTATTTATGATCATAGGTTATGGGTATTTTTACAATGTATGAAATAGATTAAATAAATGTGTTAATTATTACATTGTATTATTACTATTTTATGATAGTAACTTTTTGTTGTAGAGTTTAAATCTGTTGGTGATACTTGATCCAAATGGAGTATTATTTATCTACAGTGGTGTTACCAAGGTATGATAAATAAAGTAGTGTATCCATTCTAGGTTTCAGATTCAACACCAGCCATTTGCTGATTTTTAAAAAAACTAAAAACTCTTTGTAGATGTAATTTTTATTTATTTGCCAGAAAGACCATTTATAGACACTGATAGGAAAATTTACACCCATTATTAGTTATCTGATGCATTTATGATAAAATAGTTTCTTGGCTTTGAAAATTAGTTCTGATGAACCTATTTTGAGTTGATTTTTTTTTCACACTAATAAAAAGACAGATGGGTCTTTTTTTTTTGTTGATCATTGTGGTTATACAAAAAAAGACACCCCCCCCCCCCAACACACACACTTTATGTCCATTGCAGTCAAATAAGCAAAGATTTTTTCCTTAGATAATTTACCAATGCTTCTTTTGCATTTAGGAAAGTGATTTTAAAGCATTTTAGTTCTTTTTAAAATCTGCATCTATATCAAACTTTTAAACTTTATTTAGTCAGTTTTCATTTTATTTTCAATCAAAATGTATTTCTGTTCTCTAAACCTTTGATTTTTAACAATTTTTAAATGAATTTCTGACATATCGTGAACACTGTAACTATAAATTATTCAGATAAATCGGCTTCATGTTTCAACACTGCCTCTTGGATCAGGCTCTATAAATATGCTGAAACCTGTCACCCCCATCAATAGCCCACAGAGGGGAGGAATATTTACCTCCAGCAGACCCCCTAGTGCTATGGATCAAGCAGGATTTGATGAAGAGGTAAGATTTCAAAATATTGTATAATGTATATTTCATGCATGACTTTTTCAACTTAGCTTTTCCAAAGTGGGCTTTTGTTGTGAGCATCAGTGGGGTGTGCTGTGCATGGGATGGAACCAAATTTATTGCAACATTTAATTGTTCAAGGGTTATAATCATTTCTCTCCAATAAATTTCAAGACTTCAAGACTATAATTTTCAAATTAACACACAAGCAACTTTATATATAGTCATTCATGTTCAGTGTATTGTTTTATTGCAGAGCTACTTGTGTAGATCAAAGTTACTTCCGACATATGCATTGATTTAACAGTTGCTCTGAATGGTCTAAGGTCCTTTCATAGTAATTAATCATTTTATTTTAGTTCCTTTCATCAAAGACCTTGTAAAATATTGATTTGATAGTTGGGAGTGACCAAAAGGTGTTATTTTACATATTCATATGGCAAAGGGCAATGTGATTTGTGATTGCCTTCTTCTTTGGAAATGTTGAAAAAAGTTTCAAGTGTTTTAGGGTGAACATTAATAAGGTATTTCAATTAAGCTTGAAAATATCTGTGTCAGGTAAGCAGCATTGTATTCCATGAACCTTTTGTTTTTGTAGATAACTAGACTTTCACCAGTACAAACAGATTTGGAGGATTCCTCACACTTTGATGAATTTCCAACACATTCTAGTTATATACAAGGCTTGAGAGATAATGTGGGGGCCAGGTTCACTATCGTAAGTCATCCTTACGAAATCAAAACAGTTGAACTTCAGTATTTCCAACACTGATATCTTGAGTGAGTTAAAAATCCAACCCCAACCCCCCCAACCCCCCCAACCCCCTTTTCTTTTTAATGTATTTTAACCACAATAAATCGAATCCTTGAATATTCTGAAGTTTTTTTCTCACTCAAATCAAATTTAAGATAACAAGGTTTGACTAAAATATTATTGAGAAACTTTTAATCTCAAGATTCTTGTGATCCTGTAAACTACATGCTTTTATGATTCACATATATATATAAAATCTTCTTGTTTATTTCTTCATTGAAGGAATTAATTAATGGCAGTATGTGTAGAGCAGTGATGCCAAAATCCTCAGCCTCACCTGGGAGTAAGAATCATACATGATGTTTTTGTATACTGTATATACTCACATATAAGTCAGTCTGCCTATAAGTCGGTTGTATTTTTTATAAAGCTTATATTAGAGGACTTGACCCTCTAAAGAGTTTTGGACCAAAGTTTAGCTCCAAAAAAAAAACAACTTATAGGCGAGTATATACAGTACTGTAAACGTAATTTTTTCATTGGGGTCATAATTCTGCAGAATTCCAATTTCTAATTAGGTAAGGTAAATGATACCTAATATTGAGATGTTATGCATTGGCCATATTGCCCAATATAAATTTTCACATGCCCTCAGTATTGCATCATGTTTAAACCAATAAAAATTGAAATTTCTTTGATTAAGGATACAGTAGATGTATATTTTTCATGTGAGATTAATTTACACCATCTATGTTATCACAATTTTCTGCAGAAATTTGTCAAAGTGTACTTAAAGTGCGTTTAAGATATACAATGACAATCAAAGAAATCCAGATAATTTCTACCGACAGGTTGATAAGAACAATATGGCCAATGCATAACATCTCAATATTAGGTATCATTTATTGCAGTGTATACATATATGTCTCTTAAAGTATGGTCCTTGAGAAAAAAAATTATTTATCAGGTTTGTTTCTGTCCATCGACAGAAATACATACATGTACATCAGGTTGGTCAGTTTGAAAGATGGCTAGGTGAAGCCTCATTGTCTATGAGATTAATTACGGTAACCAGTTATATTTATATAGACGGTCGGTAACAAACTTTACTACATGTAATTAATTAAGTAATTTTATCCCTATTAACCTATATATTTTAGGCCATTGATGGTCAATACTAGAACATTCTTATTGCATATTTTTTTGTTTGTTTGTTGAACCATGCTTTTGACTTTAATTTGAAATTTAATTTCAGTCGAGAAAAGTTTACTGTCACTTAGACACATGCTGCCACGAGATGTTGCCATCACTATCCTTGGTAAATGGTACACAGCCAGAAATACTCCAGGAGGGTTAGTGAACCAGTCAGAGTGGGCCCTTTTTACCAAAACTTTGTTTGGACTCATGGGATATGACACATCCAGATTAGCTTTGACTCGTCAGGTATGGTTTTAAGTTTATTTGTATCCCCAGAAAGGAGTTCGTAATGTCTGAATCCTGCAGAATTTTTACCGAAATTATAAAAAAAAGTCGTATCTATATCATAAATCACAAAAATTAATTTATCCCAAAGAAATGCACAGAAAACATTTTTTACATTCATAGTGAAAGTGTTACATTGACTACTGGTAGGATACTCACTCTTATAGCTTTTTTCTTCGTTGATTTGAAATGCCTCTTTGCAGGAAGATGCAGACATATCAGCTTCACCATTAATGCTGGCCAAAAAACCAAGACAATCAGATCAGGGCTCAGAGGATGTAAGCACACATCTTTCAATTCAAATCTTAAAAATCAGACTGTATTATTCAGATTCAAACAAAGCTTCTTTTCTTTTTTTAAGGATTGGGATACAATGATAAGTTCTGACCACCACAAGTTAGTGAAGTCTGTGTTTGAGAACAGTTTGGGATTCCAGTCACCCATTGACTTGTTACAGACCTCGAAACACTCCTTCCCGTCTTCAATAAACACTTCTGCTGTGTTGTTTGTGCAGATACCAGCTGTGTTTATAGCATTACATCTTACTTTTGAGGTACGTCATATTTCGTTTTTTGTGTGTCTTATATGAGAAAAATGTACTTCATTGGACTAATGCTTAGTTTACCAAAGGTAGAGGCAAAAGTGAGCTTTCCTAATAATGGTTTTAGTATTGCTTGTAGTTGTAACTTTTCAAATTGAAATTTTTGGCTTCGTCTCAAAAGCTATTGCACAGAACCAAACTTTTCATGAAAACTTGATTTTGGGAATTATTAAAGATAAAGGAAATCTGATAGGGCCCGAAATACTTGTATTTTACAACTTAAATGTATCAATTATTGTCAACAGATGGTATGCTGGAACTCTAGGTCTGTAGGTTTGATACTGAGTTACTCTTGACTCCTCCCATGAGAATTTGAAGTGATAGTAATCTAGAAGTACTGAAAATAATCATAATCTAGAACCAGAAGGTTAAAGCTTCATGTTAGGATTATTTTTTTCCTCTTGTTTTCAAGGAATTACAGTTAAATACAACTCTAGTTGAAGAGGTAGAAAATTTGGTGCCAATTTTATACCAACTTTCAAGGTTAGTACCAAATAAGCTTGAGTTTTAATAATTTGGTATTGAGATTATCATATACACCTCTTGTTGTTAAAATTTGACATCTTAAATGAAGCACAAAGGTAAAATGACTTTGCATATCCTATGAGTTAAAAAATGTAAGGCTGCTTTCTTAATAATTTTGGGGTGTTAAATTATTCTTTTCCCTTGTTCCAATCTCTCTCTACCTTAAATTGTCTTATGGTTAAGAGGGTGTGAAGACCTTAAAAGATTCTACCTGAAGAGTACTAATGAGACACCTAAGCAATCCATTAAAGCAGTCCCCAGGATCTGCCTCAGAGAGTAAACCCAGCAGACACAGGGTTTTCTGGGACTGATTTGTACATTGATGCATGAAGCAAACACAGGAGAGTCAGTCTGGCTCACTTTCTCACTGACTTGCTGACCTGGCTGCATACTTGGATTGATCTTTCTGCTAGGAATTCTCCAACTGCTTTCCAAGTCCACTTTCTGGGACTGCTCTGAGACCACTCTGCGATTGAATGATTATGTCTTGTTGATAATGTAATTGACTGCCTTTGTGGGATGTACACTTTAATCATGTTTACAGATATGTATCATTTTAGCATACAAATTATAAAATGATTCTTACTAATTTTTTTTTTCCAGCGACCTAAGAAGATCGAACTATGCAGATTATTACTGTAGGAAGTTCCCATCTTTGTTTGACAGTTGTAGTGATGAAGAAAGCCAAATTACAGAGGGTAGATGGACATGTATTTATACAAATGTCAAAGCTCAAAGCTACATAATTTACATGTAATTTGAAATACAAGTTGTCTGGTAGAATGACAGCTAAGCTTTGATATCCTCTCTCTTTTTCAGATCATCTTTCGAGACTGCAGTATCCCAATGTAGATTTTGACTTTGTGTTTTCTGTTGATCAGTGGGTTAGTCTTGCCTTAAGACAAGTGGACTGTAGACCCTTTCCATATATACCTGGTGTTTCTAATCTTACAAAAAGCATAATCTCGGTAAGCTTTTAATGAAAATTCAAAAAACTGGATTTGGCATGAGTTAAAATTGTAATGAAAATGCGACGTAAAATTTATTTGTTAGTTGATTGAATAATGATTATTGATATTGATGTCAGTGCTAATACACTGTAGCTTAAAGTTCCATTTCTTGTGAGAGTGACATGTACATGTAGTTACATTTTTTTTTCAACTCAAGTTCCTAATCTTTTGAATTGTCAAAAGATACTTAGCTTTTAAGCATGTATTTGGATAAGCAAAGAATTAAGAAATATAAGGGTTGGAGAAAAACTGGTACTGTGGAATCATTAAAATTCATGGGGGCCAATTTTTGTGGATTCCCTAATTTTACAGGTTCAAGGGGACATAACTTCGGGTATTCACTCATATCTACAAAAGCAAAGATGAAGCTTAAAACCCCAGATATTTATTTGTTGAGGATGTGAATTTGTTGGTGCTGGGTACCCATGAATTCCATGAATAGTGAGCTACCAGGCTATCTGGACTGTAAACAGATTTCAGAAAATTGATTGATCTAGATCCTTGCTTAATTCCTATGACAGAGGATGGCATACACAGATTGTATAAAGTATATACAGAAAGGCTCAAATTTTTGGAGCAAAGTTTGTCACCTGTCTGTCTGTTGTCTCTAGTTGCTTCTGTTGTTAGTTAACTTTTCAACTTTCAACTTCTCCAAGTGCAGTCTAACTCTTGATAACAATCTTATAGTTGAATGATTACTAAGACAAAATACATTGTTAATTTATGTTGGATAGGTAGTTATATATGACTTACTTTAATGTATTTGGTGTATTTCTATATATTAGGATTGTTTTTATGTTGAATCTTTCTTTTCAGTTGTATGCAGTCTTGGTCAAACAGAACATGACAACAGAACAAGCAGTGGATCGTTGTCTGAGGAGGCTTGCCCCTTCAGGTCTTATTATTATTACTTTATATATATCTGACTCTGATTTAGTTATATAAAGCTTTCAGACCAAATCATGTGAAAGCAGAAATTGATGTTAACAGAAAAAAAGATATTTGTGAATGAGTGGTTAAACTTAAAAAAAAAAAAATTGAGCAGAAATATCAAATGTGTGGCTTTCAATACTTTATTTCCCCTTTGATGTGAACAATTAGGCCTACCATGTCTGTTGGCAATTCCAGACATCTGATCTTCATTCCATTTTGGTTCCCATGCCAGAACCTCAGGAGATTGTTATTGTATATGTTTATATTGCATTTTGATTTGATGATCTATTTCAGGTCACAGGGGACCCATATCAGATCTGTCTCTCTCTAGGAGTTTTTCTGTGACAGTGCCAACAAACAGTGTACAGGAAAGGACAGTGTTGTACATGACCGACTTAGGTAGGGACTATGTAGAAATGTAGCTATGTAAACCAAGGGAAAAGAATTTCAGAGTTAAATGGTGAGGGGTTCAAAATATAGCTGTAAAATTTATGATTACTCTCTCCCTCCTCCTCCTACCTTTCAATATTCTATTTTATTGATAGGAGGGTCCAGATATAGCACCAAAATATTAAATGCCTAAAATTGAGATTTCATGACCTATATAATGTTTTTCTTGCAGGCATGACCCTAGATGACTTGGAATATTTACCCATAGGTTTATCCTTGCCTTTAAGAGAAGCAATATTTCACTGCAGATATAACCCTCCATCTGACTGGCCAGAAGAACCATATATTCTCATAGGTAAATATTACATTTCAATTAATTTTTTCTTCAACCATGAAAGCATTGAATTATTAAGCATTGTATTCAATATGGTTAGGAGTATTATGTATTTGTATTTGAGGTGATAAGTATGCATTATGCACTCTGTGATTTGTATATTTGTACATGTATTACCGGTACTATCCAAATCTTCTTTTACTTAACCAGGGCGCCAGGATTTATCACAGCTTTTGTCTCTTGGCAAGAAAAAAAAAGTGTGTTCACCAGGAATGTATTCCTATAAGCCTTATCCAGATGTAGAAGGGACACAGTATGAAGAAGATGGCATGGAACATTTAGACCAAGAGGTGAAGAGAGATTTAACATATTTTAAAATATTTATATATATGTTTGCCTTGCTATGTATTAGGGCTGGCACAGTAGTTCCATACTTAAATGTATGTTGATTTATGATGTGCATTTTTGCAACCCTTCATATGAAGTTAGCTTTATAGAAGGTTATCACCTGAGGCCTGTTCAACAGATTGAATGTTCAGCGAGCACTCGCCAAAATTCCATATCTTTCCAAAAGAAATGTTCACGTTCACTCGCGAACGTTCACTCTGTTGAACAGGCCTCTGTTGAAATTAGGTTTTTTGGCATTGACAGGTGTGTCTTTCTCATAAATTGATATACATTCTATGCCGTGTACAAGAACCAGTAAACTCAGAAACAGATACGGGATACTCATACACATAACTAGTATACATATATGTCTATATTCAGCTTTTGAGGTTAAGATTCTCTGAAGATTTACGAGTATCAGAAGCCAGACGACTACTTCAGTCCTCACGTCCAGCAAGAATTTCTTTAACCCAGAGACCGGAGGTCAGGTAAGTTGAAAATTGAGTTGAAATAACTATTGCATACTGTAAATGAAGATATTTACATGTGTTGTTAATCACAAATAAGAAGGAAAAAATATACATGTGGGGGTTATTTCTGCAATACAAGGAATGAATTGTGAATGCTGAATATATTCAATGGCAGTGGTACCCAGGACATATTTACATGCATTTGAAAAATATCATATTGCATGTTTTAACATGAATTAACCATCACGTTCAAATTTATAAAAAGGAAGCTTTGTGACCTTGAATTAAAGGAAATGTGAAAGTCTTTCTGACAAAACATGTATACTTGATTTATGGAGCAAAAAATAAAATAGAAAATAGTAGATGCAAGTTTGAGACATTTCTGTTCATGTATATGTCTTTCACATTTGCTTTTTATGTGTTAAGATTTCTAATCTGACCAAACCTCTTGCACTATTGGACAAAAACTACATTTGGAACTTACGTGTAGCATGATGATACTTTCAAGCTTGTATTAAAATTATAGAAATCAACACTCATGTAGTATACCCTTCTATCTTCTTTCAGTGATCATGATTTTATTGAGGAGCAAGAGCGACATTTATACAATATTTGCATAAGAACCATGGCACTTCCAATTGGGCGGTAAGTCCTTTTATATTTTAAAGAATTATTGAAATAGCTAATTGGCAAAATGGCAAAGTCTGGTAAAGGGGATGCTGTTGTTTTATTTTTGTAGTGGGATGTTCACACTCTGCACATATCATCCTCTTCCAACTGAACCTTTGCCAATTCCCAAGCTCTGTCTACAGGGGAGAGCTCCTCCAAGGTAAAAGACATGAGAAGCTGGTATAATCATGTGTAGGTCACCTATGCCAAAAGTTCATCTGATTAAAAAAAAACACACACTCACAATTCTCCAATAACTTGATGTGCCTTTATAGCACTAGTGGTTGAGGCTTGTGCATTGGTAAGATGTCCATTGTCCATCAAAATCAAAAAAATGTCTACATCACTTAAGAATCATTACTCATTAATATCAATATTAATAACTCATTAATATCATTTTTACAGAAATGCCACTGTAGACTTAACACACATAGATACCCCTGCCAACATGAGCACATGGCCACAGTTTCATAATGGAGTGGCTGCTGGATTAAGAATGGCAGATTTTTCACAGGTTTGTATACCTTATGTGTACTTCTTAGCTTTTTCAAGCTATATAATTTATGTGATGACTAGATGTATTTTTGTGATTTCTTCTTTCTCTTTTGTCATAGGTTGACTCTACTTGGATTTTGTACAACAAACCTAAAGGCAATGAATTAACCAATGAATATGCTGGCTTTTTGATGGCACTTGGTTTGAATGAGCATCTCATTCATCTTCACTCCTTAAATGTCCATGACTATCTCAGCAAAGTAAGTGCCAAACAGAATTTACTGTTACCTTCTCTCTCTAAAAGCGGGGGTTATTACTTTGGGCCATATGTTAAATTCATTGGGGTATATACTAAAAGGTTAAGCATCTCTATGTTGTTTAGGTTAAGGTTGCTGAAGTCTTGGCCTTTGAGCAAGAGTGAAAAATAAAGAGAAATGTATCTGGGGGCCTTTTGTTTTAATGCCCTTAGATTTATGTGGTTTAAGCTGACTCAGTTCTGTGATATGTTTAAGGCAAAATAATTTGATATGTTACTTTTATTTCTAACTCCTGTGGATTTTAAGTCAGTGTGTAATTACTTTTACACAGGGGAGTGAAATGACAACAGTTGGACTCCTTCTTGGTTTGGCAGCAGCAAAGTAAGTCTGTGTACAGTTATGTCTCTGTAAGAAAAATCCACATTCATTGTTGTATCTAGTGAAATTGTACATAGCATAAAGTTGGAAATTATCTGAAGGTATTGTAAATTAATACTTTAATACATGTAATGGTTAAATCTTTAGTGTACAATTTCAAATGATTCCGATTCCTGTTTTTGTCCACAGGAGAGGGACCATGGAGTTTGCCACCACTAGGATTTTGAGTATTCATGTGGCAGCATTCCTTCCTCCAACCTCAACAGAACTGAATGTCCCTCACAATGTCCAAGTAGCAGCAATATTAGGTGTTGGTCTTGTGTACCAGGGCACTGCCCATAGACACACATCTGAAGTACTGCTGTCAGAGATAGGTAATTTAGCTAAGCACACTGATATAAGCTTCATAGCAAGTCCTGTAATGTATTCACTGAAGACTGGCATTTTATAAAATGCCTATTTCATTGGTTTCCTAGGGATACTGTAGAATGGGAAATGAAGACAATGGTTTTAAATTCACTATGTTCATGATTTATTATTTTTCTGCTAAATTAAACCTATAGTGAATAGAGTAATCAGGTCACACAATAAGGTATCTGTCACAAGGCACACACCCATAACTTGAAATTAAAAGCATGCAATTGGTACCTTGTAACAAACCGTGAAATTTTCAAACCTTAGAATTAAAATGAATTACAGTAAAAAAAAATATATAAAGATATGTATTTTTTTATTGCTGTAAATGCAAGGCTAGTGACAAACAATGATATTTTACAGGGCGGCCTCCAGGACCTGAGTTAGACAACTGTACAGATAGGGAATCTTACTCCCTGGCTGCTGGGCTGGCATTGGGGCTCATCATGTTTGGGGTAAGACAAACAGTATTGGAGGGGCATTTTAAAAGCCCACAATATTATTTAATTAAATGAGATTTTTTTGTTAAATCTTTAAATGAGAAGGAAAGCTTGTGTGATAGATGTGTGATGATTTATTTTTCAGAAAGGCAATGAGGTCATTGGTACGTCTGACCTTGGAATGGCAGACACACTCTGTCATTTTATGACAGGAGGACACAAGCGCCCCCTGGTAAGGATTGTGATGTACAGTGTATAGGTCAAAATAATTTAAATATTTCATTAAGATTTCAAATATTCATTCATTTAATCACTTTGAATAAATAATCATTTAGAGCAGAGGTCTACTAAATTGATATAGATATTCAATATACTGAATTTTAATTGTATTTAATATATTGATTATATATTTTATTGTTTCTTTTGATAAATGTCACAATGGAAAAAAGTTTTTGGGTTATGGATATGCATCTGTGTACAGGATTGTATTACTTGACTATCTTTGTAATACAGGTAATTATTTGTCATAATTCTGTAATCTGCAGATAGGGAACAACAAGGAAAGATACAAGGCCCCCAGCTATCAGATTAAGGTAAGATCTAAACCTTATTGTTTATCTTCCTGAACATATATAATTTAATTCTTCTGTTCTTGAGCAAATCAGTTTAAATAAAAATGTTTAATAATTATATTTTTTTTAAAGACTTTTCCAACAAATGTACAGTATACCCTATGGGCTTTGCAGGATTTGTTCAGATTACCAACCAAGTTCAATTCCCAGTGACTTTTTTAGCTTTCTTATTTTTTTTTCTAATTGACTCATTCACAAAACTTCACCCAGTTAAATGTTGGTAAGATCATTGTAAATGTACCATATTGGACAGTGGTAGAAATTTAACAATGGAAGGTTATTGTAAATAATATTTGTCTTTATAGGAAGGTGACAACATCAATGTGGATGTGACTTCTCCAGGAGCCACCCTTGCTCTCGGCATGCTTTACTTTAGAACAAACAACAGGTAGGGTTGTTACCATCAGAAAAATTATTTTATTTTTAAAATTGGTAAAAGTCTTTTTTAACTAGAGAACCCAGCATGGAAACTTAAACAAAAAAAAAATACTTAAAATGAGGAATCTTACAAGATACTGTAGATCACTTAATTGAAGCAACACCTTATTTTCTTGAGATTGTTACCGTATAATCAGAAATTTTAGGAGGATTTAATTTTGGCATTATTAGCGAGGGTTCTGAGGTTGCTAAAATTGAATATCACTAACATTTTATTATTTTATTCTATATCAGATGTTATAGTTATCTCTCTTGACATTATAAAATTGCTAAAATTACTTCTTGCTAAAAATATATACAGACTATTTTGGGATAAATTGCTGAATTTGCATCTTGCTAAAATTTCCACTTATACGGTATTTGGTATTTTTAATAAGACAAATTTTTCATGAATTTGGGTCATTGCTCTGTATAATCTTTAATAATACTAATGTATGCAATTATGAATTTTGCGAGCAGACAGTCTCCAGGGTTTGACATTAAGGCACGTCCAACCGACCAAGTCTAGTAAATAAGTGGTCTGGTCCTGTAAAACATATGTGAACTAGACCGATTGGTTGGGTTAATAAAATAACTACATGTATTAAATTCCATTTCAGTCTTTCAAATAGATATTCAAAAGTATTAAAGAAATTATCTTACTTGTACAATTGTAAACACAGCCATCGCTCTGTAATGAAAAAAAATCCCCGCATAATACAATTGCTATTTTTAGTCACGGTTGTAATAGACAAGTTGCAGTGGAAACTAGCATTCTTCAGTATCAATATGGTATAAATAGTTGCCTAATAATATTTTCTTTATCTAATTATTAATATTTAGGATAATAAGTTTAGTAAAGTTCATTAAATGTCTTTAAGGCTTATAATATTCGCATGTCCCGATGAACCAGACTCAAATTGGCTAGTCTGTCAAAATTTTGACAGGCACAAGAGACGGCTGCAAAACTTACCACATTGAAATTAGCAATTATAAGAAGTTTGGACAGGGCTAGTGATTTTATGGTTGGGGCTAGTATATGGAATTAGTCCGACATGTCTAGTATTCGTTAAAGTTAATGTCAAACCCTAATAAAAAAGTGATTTACAGTGCATTTAACAGCAAAAAAATCATCAGGGACTTTTTTTTCCAACTTGCAGTACAGGACATGTTTGATACCAAAAATCTGGCTTCTGTAGTCAAGCAGTTTTTGTCAAATTTTGCAATTTTGCCAAAATGACAAAAAAGATATACATGTAAAAGCAAAATATTAAAACTTGTTATTTCAGTGCAGTAATTGACTGGCTAAGGGTTCCAGATACACAGTTCATGTTAGACCAAGTCCGTCCTGATTTTCTAATGCTAAGGGTATGAAAATTTTTAAAAACATCATAAGTATTGAAAGTAAGTGGAAGCAGTTTTGACCTGATAAAATTTTTATTCATTGCATACCTAACCTTATAGATTTTCCTTTACAGACCATATCTCGAGGACTTGTCATGTGGGACTACGTCGTCCCAAGTTTTGACTGGATCAAGTCAATGATTCCACCTGTAAGGAAATGCTATAATGCTGCTTTTGGCTTTTGAGTGAACTTATGAATTAAAGCTTACATGTTATGACTAAAATTTTATTGAGAGAGAGTGACGATGAAGATAATATTTGTAACACCAGCGTATATTAGCTTTACATTAAGAATTTGCCTTGCAATGAGAAAACCAACAAAACTATAAGAGGTCATGTTTTCACATTTATATTTCTACTTTTTAGCTCACCTGAGCTGAAAGCTCAAGTGAGCTTTTCTGATCACCCGTTGTCCGTCGTCCGTCCGTCTGTCCGTCCGTCTGTAAACTTTTCACATTTTCAACTTCTTCTCAAGAACCACTTGGCCAATTTTAACCAAACTTGGTACAAAGTATCCTTGGTTGAAGGGGAGTGTAAATTGTTAAAATAAAGGGCCAAGTCTCCTTACAAGGGGAGATTATCAAGAAAGGACAAAAATAGGGTGGGGTCATTAAAAAATCTTCTTCTCAAGAACCACTGGGCCAGAAAAGCTGAAACTTATGTGGAAGCATCCTGGGATAGTGTAGATTCTAAATTGTTAAAATCATGACCCCTGGGGGTAGGGCGGGGCCACAATAGAGAATCCAAGTTTTACATTGAAATACATAAGAAAAATCTTTAAAAATCTTCTTTTCAAGAACCACTGGGCCAGAAAAGCTGAAACTTATATGGAAGCATCCTGGGGTAGTTTAAATTCTAAATTGTTCAAATCATGACCCCTGGGGGTAGGGCAAGGCCACAATAGGGAATCCAAGTATTACATTGAAATATATAAGAAAAATCTTTAAAAATCTTCTTCTCAAGAACCACTGGGCCAGAAAAGCTGAAACTTATATGGAAGCATCTTGGGGTAGTGTAGAATCTAAATTGTTCAAATCATGACCCCCAGGGGTAGGGCGGGGCCACAATAGGGAATCCAAGTTTTACATTGAAATATATAGGAAAAATCTTTAAAAATCTTCTTCTCAAGAACCACTGGGCCAGAAAAGCTGAAACTTATATGGAAGCATCCTGGGGTAGTGTAAATTCTAAATTGTTCAAATCATGACCCTCGGGGGTAGGGCGGGGCCATAATAGGGAATCCAAGTTTTACATTGAAATACATAAGAAAAATCTTTAAAAATCTTCTTCTCAAGAACCACTGGGCCAGAAAAGCTGAAACTTATATGGAAGCATCCTGGGGTAGTGTAAATTCTAAATTGACCAAATCATGACCCCCGGGGGTAAGGCGGGGCCGCAATAGGGAATCCAAGTTTTACATTGAAATATATAGGAAAAATCTTAAAAAATCTTCTTCTCAAGAACCACTGGGCCAGAAAAGCTGAAACTTATATGGAAGCATCCTTGGGTAGTGTTAATTCTAAATTGTTCAAATCATGATCCCGGGGGAAGGGCGGGGCCATAATAGGGAATCCAAGTTTTACATTGAAATACATAAGAAAAATCTTTAAAAATCTTCTTCTCAAGAACCACTGGGCCAGAAAAGCTGAAACTTATATGGAAGCATCCTGGGGTAGTGTACATTATGAATTGTTCAAATCATGACCCCCCGGGGTAGGGCAAGGCCACAATAGGGAATCCAAGTTTTACATTGAAATATATAAGAAAAATCTTTAAAAATCTTCTTCTCAAGAACCACTGGGCCAGAAAAGCTGAAACTTATATGGAAGCGTCCTGGGGTAGTGTAAATTCTAAATTGTTCAAATCATGACCCCCGGGGGTAGGGCGGGGCCATAATAGGGAATCCAAGTTTTACATTGAAATACATAAGAAAAATCTTTAAAAATCTTCTTCTCAAGAACCACTGGGCCAGAAAAGCTGAAACTTATATGGAAGCATCCTGGGGTAGTGTAAATTCTAAATTGATCAAATCATGACCCCCAGGGGTAAGGCGGGTCCACAATAGGGAATCCAAGTTTTACATTGAAATATATAGGAAAAATCTTAAAAAATCTTCTTCTCAAGAACCACTGGGCCAGAAAAGCTGAAACTTATATGGAAGCATCCTGGGGTAGTGTTAATTCTAAATTGTTCAAATCATGACCCCCGGGGGTAGGGCAAGGCCACAATAGAGAATCCAAGTTTTACATTGAAATACATAAGAAAAATCTTTAAAAATCTTCTTTTCAAGAACCACTGGGCCAGAAAAGCTGAAACTTATATGGAAGCGTCCTGGGGTAGTGTAGATTCTAAATTGTTCAAATCATGACCCCCGGGGGTAGGGCGGGGCCATAATAGGGAATCCAAGTTTTACATTGAAATATATAAGAAAAATCTTTAAAAATCTTCTTCTCAAGAACCACTGGGCCAGAAAAGCTGAAACTTATATGGAAGCATCTTGGGGTAGTGTAGAATCTAAATTGTTCAAATCATGACCCCCAGGGGTAGGGCGGGGCCACAATAGGGAATCCAAGTTTTACATTGAAATACATAAGAAAAATCTTTAAAAATCTTCTTCTCAAGAACCACTGGGCCAGAAAAGCTGAAACTTATATGGAAGCATCCTTGGGTAGTGTAAATTCTAAATTGATCAAATCATGACCCCCGGGGGTAAGGCGGGGCCGCAATAGGGAATCCAAGTTTTACATTGAAATATATAGGAAAAATCTTCTTCTCAAGAACCACTGGGCCAGAAAAGCTGAAACTTATATGGAAGCATCCTGGGGTAGTGTTAATTCTAAATTGTTCAAATCATGATCCCGGGGGAAGGGCGGGGCCATAATAGGGAATCCAAGTTTTACATTGAAATACATAAGAAAAATCTTTAAAAATCTTCTTCTCAAGAACCACTGGGCCAGAAAAGCTGAAACTTATATGGAAGCATCCTGGGGTAGTGTACATTATGAATTGTTCAAATCATGACCCCCGGGGGTAGGGCAAGGCCACAATAGGGAATCCAAGTTTTACATTGAAATATATAAGAAAAATCTTTAAAAATCTTCTTCTCAAGAACCACTGGGCCAGAAAAGCTGAAACTTATATGGAAGCGTCCTGGGGTAGTGTAGATTCTAAATTGTTCAAATCATGACCCCCGGGGGTAGGGCGGGGCCATAATAGGGAATCCAAGTTTTACATTGAAATATATAAGAAAAATCTTTAAAAATCTTCTTCTCAAGAACCACTGGGCCAGAAAAGCTGAAACTTATATGGAAGCATCTTGGGGTAGTGTAGAATCTAAATTGTTCAAATCATGACCCCCGGGGGTAGGGCGGGGCCACAATAGGGAATCCAAGTTTTACATTGAAATACATAAGAAAAATCTTTAAAAATCTTCTTCTCAAGAACCACTGGGCCAGAAAAGCTGAAACTTATATGGAAGCATCCTGGGGTAGTGTAAATTCTAAATTGATCAAATCATGACCCCCGGGGGTAAGGCGGGGCCGCAATAGGGAATCCAAGTTTTACATTGAAATATATAGGAAAAATCTTCTTCTCAAGAACCACTGGGCCAGAAAAGCTGAAACTTATATGGAAGCATCCTGGGGTAGTGTTAATTCTAAATTGTTCAAATCATGATCCCGGGGGAAGGGCGGGGCCATAATAGGGAATCCAAGTTTTACATTGAAATACATAAGAAAAATCTTTAAAAATCTTCTTCTCAAGAACCACTGGGCCAGAAAAGCTGAAACTTATATGGAAGCATCCTGGGGTAGTGTACATTATAAATTGTTCAAATCATGACCCCCGGGGGTAGGGCGGGTCCACAATAGGGAATCCAAGTTTTACATTGAAATATATAAAAAAAATCTTTAAAAATCTTCTTCTCAAGAACCACTGGACCAATAAAGCTGAAACTTATTTGGAAACATCCTGAGGTAGTGTAGATTCTAAATTGTTCAAATCATGACCCCCAGGGGTAGGGCGGGGCCACAATAGGTATATTAAAAGGGGGAAATCTGGTAAAGAACAGCATGGCCAAAGTTACTCAGGTGAGCGATGTGGCCCATGGGCCTCTTGTTATTACATTATTTTTCACAATATGCATTTAAAATGAAAAAATATTGATTTTATTCTAAAATTGTTTGAATAAAAAAAAACAACTTTATTTTATTGTGTTTCATTTTTTAATGTTTTTTCTCCAGATATTGCAAGAAAAAGCCTTTGAAAGAAAGCAAGGAGAGGGTGAAGATGTAATGATTGATTATGAAACAATGAGGTTTGTAACCCTAAACATAATATGTAAAACAATATTATCTATGATATTTTTAAAAACAATTTTATCATTCATGAGTCATTCAAGGCTTTGATACAAGTATGGAGTAGGAGACTATGTAGAAATTAGCTCCCTCTCATTTTAAAGCTGTTTTATTTTTTCACCAGCCAGAGTTACTGTAATGTTGTGGCAGGAGGCTGTATGGTGATTGGTCTGAAGTTCGCAGGAACAGCCAATCAAATGGCATTTGGAACACTGGTAATGAATGCTGCTGACTTGCACCAAGAACTTTATTTTAATTCATAAAGCTGTGTTTACAGTCAAATTAATTAACAGTTTAAGATCATTATCTCTAATCCAATGTGACAGAGAAAAAAAAACCCAGAGTGTTATCCAAGGATTCGAGATATTGAGGTTTTGAACAATTCAAAAATGCTGAATTTGAGCATATTGAAGTGGTTTAATACATGTAGTTAGGTTTTATTGCTGTGGTTGACAGATGAAGAGCATTAAGCTGGCTCTGACCATAATGTCCAGTCAGTCCCATGTAGAACAGACGGGGAGAGGTGTGCTGGAGAATTGTATGGTCACCATTCTTCTCTCCTTAGCCATGGTATGTACATCAAAATTCACAGTAAAATATAATGGAATACAAGGAATTTATCATTAAGTTTCATGCTTCTTCGGTTTCTGATTTATAATATTACTGATGATGATGGTGTTTGAGCAGGTGATGGCAGGCTCAGGTAATCTTGAGGTCCTCAGACTTTGCCGTATGCTGCGTTCTCGGATTGGACCACCACATAATATTTTTGTGACCTATGGATCTCACATGGCAATCAGTATGGCTGTTGGTCTACTGTTTCTGGGAGGCGGCAGGTAAATTGTAAAGAATTTAATGGTGGTTAAACAACAAGAATAAATGGGCAATAACACACAGTCCTTTTTTATGCAAAAGAATATTTTCTTCATGATTTAAGAGCTAAATTGTGTGATTTGTGAAAATGTTTGACTTTCAAATTGAGGTAAATAATAATTTGATGGGAAGGATTATATCTAGATAGTTTGAATGTATGTTATTTGAATTAACAGATACTCCTTGAGTACTACTCCAGAGGCAATAGGTATTATGCTGTGTGCATTTTTTCCCAAGTTTCCATTTCACAGCAATGATAACAGGTAGGATCAAAAGTTTATTATGTACAGATAAAAGTGAATTTTAAGATGTTCTACTATATGTTTAATGTTCTGTTTATATGTCTTGTTTTGGGATTGTAGGTACCATTTACAGGCTTTCTGTCATCTGTATTATGTTCTGTTTATATGTCTTGTTTTGGGATTGTAGGTACCATTTACAGGCTTTCTGTCATCTGTATTATGTTCTGTTTATATGTCTTGTTTTGGGACTGTAGGTACCATTTACAGGCTTTCTGACATCTGTATGTTCTGTTTATATGTCTTGTTTTGGGATTGTAGGTACCATTTACAGGCTTTCCGCCATCTGTATGTTCTGTTTACATGTCTTGTTTTGGGATTGTAGGTACCATTTACAGGCTTTCTGTCATCTGTATTATGTTCTGTTTATATGTCTTGTTTTGGGATTGTAGTTACCATTTACAGGCTTTCTGTCATCTGTATTATGTTCTGTTTATATGTCTTGTTTTGGGACTGTAGGTACCATTTACAGGCTTTCTGTCATCTGTATTATGTTCTGTTTACACGTCTTGTTTTGGGATTGTAGGTACCATTTACAGGCTTTCTGACATCTGTATGTTCTGTTTACATGGCTGGTTTTGGGATTGTAGGTACCATTTACAGGCTTTTGGTCATTTGTATGTTCTGTTTACATGTCTTGTTTTGGGATTGTAGGTACTATTTACAGGCTTTCCGCCATCTGTACGTTCTGTTTACGTCTTGTTTTGGGATTGTAGGTACTATTTACAGGCTTTCCGCCATCTTCATGTTCTGTTTACGTCTTGTTTTGGGATTGTAGGTACCATTTACAGGCTTTCCGCCATCTTCATGTTCTGTTTACGTCTTGTTTTGGGATTGTAGGTACCATTTACAGGCTTTCCGCCATCTGTATGTTCTGTTTACGTCTTGTTTTGGGATTGTAGGTACCATTTACAGGCTTTCCGTCATTTGTATGTTCTGGCCACAGAAGCCAGAGTTGTCCTTCCTAGAGATGTGGATTCAGGGGAACCTTGTTATGTACCTCTGGAAATCAAATTCAAGGTATCATGTTATCACAATATTAATATTAAGGTAAAAACTTCATATTTTAATGAAAAATAGACCAGTCAGACCGTGGTAGTTGCTGACATGTCTACAAGCTTTGGCATAAATTTCTGGTTGCCCTGACCTAAACAATAATCTGAAGACCAACAAAGAAGTTGAATGGTGTTATTCTGGGATCACCATGTCCATACATACATGTGCATATCTGTCTATAAACTTATTTTATCAGATGTGAACTTCTAATATAAGAAGACTATGAGACTCTAGTAAGCTTAATTTGGCACTTTACCAGTAGGTTGTGACATCTCAAAATGGCTGGAAAATTCTCACTTGAATGTTAAATTTCATACAATATATCATTGAATTCAATTATCTAGTTGTGATTCTGGCTAAAGGATACTGAGGACTATTTATCCAGCTGTTATGTACTATAGTTACTTTATGATTCTGACTATAGGATACTGAGGATTATTCTGGAGAATGTTTTAGGACATCTGCACCTACACTTCTTCCTCAGCTGGATAAAATTAAAGAGGTGAGAAAACTTACAAGTTCCTTATCTACATGTATATTTAGAGCTCCACTCATTGGGCACATTGAATTATCTAAAAATTGCAGCAAAAATAAAGCTACACAAATATGCAGAGCTCTCACATTGTTAATAGGTTGTAATTTAGCTGTTCAGTGTGCTTTTAAGCTGTGTGCATTATTTCACGATATCTTAAATGGATAAAAAAATTTTTTTAAAGTTTTAAAACGCAAAAAATGTGACAAATATTTCATTACATCTGGAGCTTGAAAATATCTCTGTAGTGTTTGTTTTCATAGGAAAGTCTTTTCTTTTTTTAGGTTAAAATACTTGGACCCAGATACTGGCCAATAACATTTCAAATTGACAAAAACTGGAGTACTTTGCAGTAAGTTATACATACATGTACAAAACACAAAACCCCCGATTTCAGAAACAGAGAGTCAATTTTAATCAAACTTCTCTACATCATTGGGTAAGGAAGATTCAATTAAATGCAAAATTAAGGGCCACATATAACCAAGCAATATTGGAAATAGATGGAGTTATGTTTATTCTTAATCTTGTTATCATTGAGGTTACAAAATATACAAGTATATGGAGGATTCCTTATAAAATGAAGGTTTGTTCATTTCATGAATTATTGGAAGGGGGTGGGGGAAAGGAAACAGAAAAGGATCAAAGTTGCCAAGGTATGCATAAGATTGTAAAATATATCTTGAAAATACTTCTTGAGAATTCTATCAAACTACAAGGCTACAAATTGTCAAATCAATATACAAACATTCCCATATAGTATATGAGGGTCATAATGAAAAAGGAGGTAAAAGTTTTATGAAGGAAAACATAGGTATAATCCTGGTATAAATGTGGTTTGTAACTTTTCAGATTGCTTCTAAAGAAAAATGGTGTTCTGTTTGTAAAGCAGAGGGCTGGCTATTTATCTTATGTTCTGGACCCAAAGGTATTTTCAACTTTTATTTTGTAAAAGATATTCCAAAAGAAATTAAATGGATTATGACATGATTGTGATGTTTTAAACACACAAATGAGAAATTGAATATATTGGAAATTGGATAAGAATTGCATCGGATAGTTTAAAACATACATGTATGAGAAATCTTTCTCTTATAAAAAGATGCCTATTAATTTTGTGGTCATATTGTTTTGTCTTGTACAAGTATGCCAAAATCTTTAAATACTAGCAATTCTAACACATACATGTATGTGCTATATTTTATTTTAAACATCAACTATAGCTGTCACTTTGCAATAACAGCCCACAGCAGGGTTCTCTGACTGCAATCGGTTTTCAAGTTAAGTTTCAAAAACATTTCTTCTTTGCAGGGATACAGAAGTATGCTGGCAAAATCTTTAACCAGTGATCACTCAAGTCATACCTCAGTGCAGGTACATGTATTACGTATGTGTATTTGTATTTTAACAGCTATAATGTTTATTCCTGGAACTGCAAAAGCATATACATATACTCTCACATAAATTGCTATTGAACAGAGGATGTCGAAATTTTCAACAGTAACATTTCAATGAAGTCAAAGCCATGTTAAATGTGATTTAATTTTCTTCAAAATCTTGTTAAAACTTTGATTGGGAATTTACCCTGCACTGAATGATTTGTACAGGAAATTGTTCCCTGAAGGACAGGAGGACAATATTTTAGTTTTTGTCACACTAAATTTTTTTTTCCAGCCTGATGTTATTAAAGCATTTACATCTGACCCCGTTATATCATCAATGGCTGACTATTTCTTGAAGGGAAAAGAGAATTGTCAGGTACAAGTTGTGTCAATTCCATTCCTTATTGTGTGTGTATTGGTAAGACCCCCCCCCCCCCCCCCAAAAAAAAAAAAAAAATACTTCCTGTTTTGATATCACAAGTCATCCCAAATAAATTCCACATTTTTATGACAGGCTAATGTTATAAAACTTTTGAAGAAGGGGAGAGAAAAAAAAAATCAACAAAATTTCAAACAGCATACCAATTAGAGGATTTCAACTAGTTTTGGCATGTAGAATCTATGGATGATGGGAAAGAAAGACTTGTGTATGTATTTTGAAGTGAGTAAATTCATTCTTATTTTTTGGTTTTATCAGAGAAGCAGAACTCTTCAGAAGTTGTCGTCCATATTGTACTCGAGTGTGACCCGAGAAAAACCTGAAGTTATCTCAACTCACATGAGACTTGATCAGGTAAAACTGAAATTTAAAAATAAAAATATCCAGTTTTAATAAATTTCAGAGATGTTGATTAACCGTATATTTGTGAGTACCATATCATTTAAGTATATACACTGTAAATTAAGTTTTTACTGCTAAGGTTACTATTTCAGGTCTTGAACCAGTCCAGTTTCTCTTTGTCCCATCTTGGAATTAGACAACTGAAGAATATTTTTGCTTACTACTACAGTTCCTTCAGCTTTAGGAAATCTGGAAGTATTTCCACTGCTCAGCTGCTTCAAATGGAATTTCTGTTGGCATTAAAATCACATCTGGAGGAAAAGCTTGATAAATGGCAAGCAGGTAATTTTTGAGGAAAATTTCAATGTCTGTCATCCTTGCTTCCATGAGCAGGAGTAATGAATATTTGTATGAAACATGAACTATTGGTGTTTGTTGTAAAGTAGATTTAGCATTTGTAAAGGGTTTTTTTGGGGGGGGGGGGAGGGGGGGTTCAAGTATGTAAAGTTTCAATGAAGAAGTATGAAAACCGTATACACAAAACAAAGGTTGCTTATATTCCTTAAAAATGTCATCAAAACTTCATGAACTTTTTCTTGGAAAATGAGAAAGGTATCCAGGCATCCTCACAACATCAGGGGTCCTGAGTCAACCTGTTGCCATTGGACTTCTGTCAAATTTCATTCAATATTCTATGGGCTGACTGCAGCGACTTCTTTTTGGGAAATTACAAATCTTGATTGTTTTTCCCATCAACCTGTAACATTTGCAATGAGGTGTCAACTGCTTACTTTCTGTTTATGTTATATATCAACTTATGAAAGCCACAATCTGATTGGTGCTTCTCAATGAGAGAAGCAAGCCTGTAGAATCAAAGCCACAATCTGATTGGTGCCTCTCAATGAGAGAATTGTCAGTTTCAACAGCAACTACTTGAATCAGGACCCTTGTTGTGAGGATTTGAGAAAGGATACTAGCCACTTTATATGAATGATTAGAAATTCTGTACTCCAGGTTTTCTGATGTTATTGTTCAGTATTGTATCATTTTTTATCCTCTGTTCCTTTCCTTGATTGGAATAATGAAAGTAATGGGGCCAAACAGTACTGTGTATGGGAACAAACAATGAGAACTCGCATGTAGATTCCTATTTGACTACAGTAGAAACGGGGGTAAATTTGTTTTCTCACATACCATGATACATGTATGTAAACACATTTTTTTTCTGGCAGCCAACATGGAAGTTATTGTGAAATATCTACAAACCAACACTGTCAAAGGCTGCAACATGTCCCTCTTATCAGCCTATGTCACGTGGTATGATATTTCAACGCCAGATGAGATATCAAAAATTGTTGTGGAAGGTTGGTTCAATTTGAAATACTAGTATGATAATTCTGAAATATTCCAATGACAAGGGATTGATATGAATCCCAGAGCTTATTGTTTACATGTACTTTAATAATCTATCTTTGAGAATGATCTGATTTGATTATTGACTTCCATGAGGTCAATGCAGTCATTTAACAATATTTCACAATGTTCACCAAATACAAAGGATGAGGAGAATATTGTTCCTTGTATTTTTGAACATTTTCACTCTATATTTGAACAATGATAAGGGGAGCATGTCTATATATTTTGAGCTCATTTATTCAAAGGGTTAATGGTTTATTTTCAAATGACCATGCTTTCATGTGGTACAAAAGTATATTAGAATGTATACAGTGTATGTATTTTAACATTCAAACTCCATCTTAACTCTTAGATTAAAAGAGACCCCAAAGATGCTGTGGTCAAATGTCAAGGTCAAATTGTCAAGATTATCAATATAAGAATACTGCAGGGCCTGTACCACTTTGTTAGTTTTCTAGTTAATTGTATGATTTACATAATAAATAATTCAGCCAAAGTATGCATGTTACTCTTTTCAAAGAGGCACAGCTTTATGTTGTTTCCATAGATTTTCAAGGAAATGTTTCAAGCACTGTAAACAATGATTCCAGGTGGGGTTTTTTTGTCAGTATAGTGTGGTATGTTTCTTACACAGGAGGTCCTACATTACCAGTGCTGTGTGCCACACTCCCACATTTACCAGTGAACACAGTGATGCAGATTCTTACTGCCTGGCAGGCTGCTGTGTGACAATAATGTGAACAAAATGGACATCACATAGAATTGAAAATTATGTGAACAAAAGTGAACAAAACAGATATTATTTGCATAGAACTGGAAATAATTGTGAATTACTGAAAAAAAAGTTGTAAACTAGAAAAATCAAATATATATAACTCTAAGAGTTTAATTAATGTGTTCTGTACAGTGGAAATAACTTTGTACATGTATGTTTATAATTTCATGACATTTCATGGAAAATAAATTTTCATGACATTTCATACAAATTAAATATTAGTCTTATTTAACTATTTTCAAGTTTTATCATTACATGTTTTTCTGTATTAAGGTCCCCTTGATTCACTGAGAAATGTGAGGGAACATCTTTTAAGGTCTTCCTCTTGGCAGACTTTAAATTGTCAAAAAACAAGGTTTGATAAGGACCTCATAAGGCTCCCATTTTCAGATAAGTTTGTAAATTACTCAGTATATGATTAATATTCAAGATGAAACTTGCTTAAGTATTTATTTTACTTAATTAACAACATATAAAATATGGGCGTTATGAAATGGATAAGATTTCCGAATTTTCTCTGTTTTAGTGACTTTTGGCTACATCAGACGTATAATATGTATGCTGTTTTGGATCTCGTAACCAGCCTCTATAACCAGGCAGAGCGCATGCGTGAAATAAATTTCCATCGAGATCGGAAAACAGCAGAGAGGAAATTCGGAATATATAATGGAAACTAGTATTGCGGAATGATACTATAGTCAGATGCAGAAATTTTTGCATAATTCGATCAACTTTTATTTAAAAAAGCAGAAGAATAAATGTATCAACTTTACAGCTAGCTTTTATTTATTTATTTATTTGTTTGTTTATTTATTTATTTATTTATTTATTTATTTATTTATTTATTTAATTATTAATTAATTAATTTATTTATTTAATTTATTTATTTATCATACTTATAATTAATTAACTAAGTAACTGATTAATTTATTAAAAAATATATATATATATTTTTTTAATTCATTTATAACATTCTTTCCTTCATTTATTAAATATTCCATCTATTAATTAATTATCTATTAATTAATTCATTGATTTATTAATTTGTATGCATGTTTGTTTATTTATTTATTATTCTAATAATTAAGTGGTTGATTAATTCATTAAGAAGTTCATTTATTTGTTTGTTTATTTATTTATTATATTCATTCCTTCATTTATTTCGTATTCTATTAATTTATTTATTTATTATTTATCTATTTATTTATGCATTCATTTATTCGTATTTTTATTTATTTCTTTATTTTTTATTTCTTTATTGATTGATTGATTTATTTTTGCATTTATTTATTGATTTATTTATGCATTTATCATATATTTCTTTTATAAATTAATTATTTTTACAGGGTTTGTATACTTATTACCAGGGTCTGTTTATGTATTGCCATAGTTTGTATACCATCACCAGGGTCTATATACCTATCACCAGGGTCTGTATACTTATCACCAGGGTCTGTATACCTATCACCAGGGTCTGTATACTTATCACCAGGGTCTATGTACCTATCACCAGGGTCTATATACCCATCACCAGGGTCTGTATACCCATCACCGGTGTCTATAAACCTATCACCAAGGTCTATAAACCTATCACCAGGGTCTATATACCCATCACCAGGGTTTGTATACCCATCACCAGGGTCTGTATACCTATCACCAGATTCTGTATACTTATCACCAGGGTCTGTATACCCATCACCAGGGTCTATATACCCATCACCAGGGTCTGTTTACCCATAACCAGGGTCTGTATACCCATCACCAGGGTCCGTTTTATCTATCACCAGGGTCTATATACCTATCACCAGGGTCTGTATACCCATCACCAGGGTCTATGTACCTATCACCAGGGTCTATATACCTATCACCAGGGTCTGTATACCCATGACCGGGGTCTGTATACCCATCACCAAGGTCTATAAACCTATCACCAGGGTCTATATACCCATCACCAGGGTTTGTATACCCATCAGGTCTGTATACCTATCACCAGATTCTGTATACTTATCACCAGGGTCTGTATACCCATCACCAGGGTCTATATACCCATCACCAGGGTCTGTATACCTATCACCAGGGTCTGTATACCCATCACCAGGGTCTGTATACTTATCACCAGGGTCTATGTACCTATCACCAGGGTCTATATACCCATCACCAGGGTCTGTATACCCATCACCAGGGTCTGTATACCCATCACCAGTGTCTATAAACCTATCACCAGGGTCTATATACCCATCACCGGGGTCTGTATACCTATCACCCGGGGCTCTTTTTTCTTATCACCAGGGTCTGTATACCTATCACCAGATTCTGTATACCTATCACCAGGGTCTGTATACCTATCACCAGTGTCTGTATTATCTATCACCAGGGTCTGTATACCCATCACCAGGGTCTGTATACATATCACCAGAGTCTATATACCCATCACCAGGGTCTGTATTATCTATCACCAGGGTCTATATACCTATCACCAGTGTCCTTATACCTATCACCAGGGTCTTTCTACCTATCACCAGGGTCTGTATACCCATCACCAGGGTCTGTATACCTATCACCAGGGTCTGTATTATCTATCACCAGGGTCAATATACCTATCACCAGGGTCTGCATACCAATGACCAGAGTCTGTATACCTATCTCCAGGGTCTGTATACCCATCACCAGGGTCTGTATACTTATCACCAGGGTCTGTATAACTATCACCAGGGTCTGTATTATCTATCACCTGGGTCTGTATACCTATCACCAGGGTCTGTATATCCATTACCAGGGTCTGTATACTTATCACCAGAGTCTGTATAACTATCACCAGGGTCTGTATCATCTATCAGCAGATTCTGTATACCTATCACCAGGGTCTGTATACCCATCACCAGGGTCTGTATACCTATCACCAGGGTCTGTATACATCTCACCAGAGTCTATATACCCATCACCAGGGTCTGTATTATCTATCACCAGGGTCTGTATACCCATCACCAGGGTCTGTATACCTATCACCAGGGTCTGTATACCTATCACCCGGGTCTCTTTACTTATCACCAGGGTCTGTATACCTATCACCAGATTCTGTATACCTATCACCAGGGTCTGTATACCCATCACCAGTGTCTGTATTATCTATCACCAGGGTCTGTATACCCATCACCAGGGTCTGTATACTTATCACCAGGGTCTGTATCATCTATCACCAGATTCTGTATACCTATCACCAGGGTCTGTATACCCATCACCAGGGTTAGTTTATCTATCACCAGGTACTGTATACCAATCACCAGGGTCTCTTGACCCATCACTCGGGTCAGTTTATCTATCACCAGGTTCTGTATACCAATCACTAGGGTCTATATACCCTTCATCACGGTTTTTTCTTCCCTCGTGCAGGGTCTAGTTCCCTTCTTTTTAGTAGGGTGACCTTCAACATAGTTTGCATTATGAAAATGAATCCAATTACTTTTTAGGGTGTCTTCATAAACGTTACATCTTGTGGAGAACGTATGAGTTGTTTAATGAACTATAATGATTTTATTGAAATAAAGATGCCTTGACTCTAATGTAATATTGATCTTATTTACTTTTTATTTTGTAGTGCATGTAAGCCTGTCAAGGAGGAAGCAAAGGATATAGAAACTTATAACAATGGACAAAGATTTATATTTGTGTGGAATTATCTTTACATTGTAAATGCCAATGTATCCTGATTCCTCTATTGCATAAATAGAGAGAAATCTAAAAATTCCATTATGTTGTTTACTTGTTCCAGAGAAAATGTGAAGATATACGTAGCTACATAATTAATCAATAAAGTGTGAAATGGTAAAAATTATCATAAAAGAAGAGCAACCAACACAAAGTTCAAATTTCTTCTATGTTCATGACAGTAGAACAGTAGGATAATAGTGCCAAAATTTGTGTTCTACAACCCCTAGCTGTCATGTTGTCAAGAAGGAGACCCAGTGTATTTTCACTGCATGGAAATGATATGGAATGTCTTTAAACGTTTTTTTTTTGTTTTGTTTTTTTTTTCTTTTTGGTTGGGATGCAATCGTCTATGGCATATTGTGACTGTCGTGGCGGCTCATCATATTTAAAATTATTATATATTTTTAAAGTGGGATGTTCTGTTTAAAAGCTTAGGACCAAGGATCGAGTTATGATTTGAAAGTCGATCAAACTTCAATGTCAAGTTTATGAGGTTAAAAATCAAAGTATATTTGGAAGGTCTTGTTACAGCTATGTTCATGTACAAGAAAATATTAAAGTCCTGTCTCATCAGGTGCAAAGCTTTGGCCAGGATTAAAAGTTTTGTAAAAAGAAAGTCAAATGTCAAGGTCAAAGATCTTAGGCTATATACATTCCAGTGACTTGTTATAGTTTTGTCACGGGTATTGCACAGGTCAATTATGAAAACATATATCTCATTCCATACTAAGCTTAGGTCAGGGTTATTTTTTTTTTTATAAGTATATCAAATTTCACTGACAAGGTCATAAGATAAAAAAAATAAATTCAGAAAGATTTTGTAATTCGTAATTTATATGTGGAATATGAGAGTCCGATCTTCTCAAAATTATTATATATTTTCTATTAGATGAATATTTCTTGAAATTGATAAACTAAACAAAAAATTATGACCAATGTTCAAATTTTTGTGATGAACAAACACATAGACTGTCCCGGCGTATTTGCTTTAGCAATGGAGAATAATTGAATAAAATTCCATGAAAGATAAAAATGATAATTATGATAAAACGTTTTATTTGAAGTAGTGATATGTATATCTTTCCGAATTAATTTTATTAGCAATACATATATTCAAAGAGTAAGGCGTAGATAGTGTATTAACCCCCCCCCCCCCCGATATATGAATAATTTACGGTCTAAAATTATTTCATATAAACACACTGCCCACACGTTAGGTGCCTGCAAACATCTATGAGCAACACAGGCAATTGATGTTACTTTTTGTATATATGAGGTAAAAAGGTTTTTTTTTTGTTATAAATACCTCCTGCATTTACAAGTGAGGTTTGAAATATTAAAATTTTATTTTAAGAAAATGTTCCGAATATTCGACTATCGTTCGAATAATGTTATCGAATAGTCGACTAAGGAAAATAAATATTTTGACATCCCTAAAAATACACA